GGTTATATTTTTAGAAAAACTATAAGCTCTGAAAAGAAAGTACAGATTGTAACCCTAAGACATCCTATTCCCATACCATCTTCCGACTTTTTCTATATTTTAAAGGACTGCAGGGCTCTGCACAATAAATTTTACATAGTTTCTGACATGAACTTTTCTTTCAGGAATCACCAACCTTGTAGAGATTTGCTCATTAGAGGTCAAAGGAAGGGAACATGCTATGAGAGATTTTGATTTGAGCCCTACCCGCCTTGTCTCCACAGATCTTGCATAGAAAATACGTTCATCATGTAAGTTAATACAATAACATAATTGGTCAAAGTGAAATTCCTAGTAAACTGGTAGAGAATGTTTAGTGAATATAAAACCATATGTGTATTTCCATCCCCTATCACAAATGCAAAGGAAAAACAAACCAGGAATGAAATCATTCCCTACAACTAAGTTATCACATCCTGTACCCCTGATAATCTAAGTAAAGAACTACTCTAAAAGGGCCACAAGCCACCCTCTGCACCCCAAGTTTTTCCTTCAGGCTGTCCTCTCTGTTGAAAGAGGATGCAGGCTTATGCATGCTTGCATGCATGCTATCCCTACCTGCAGTTTGCACCTGTATCTGTTGTGTGTCTCTGGCTCCCACAACTGAGATTTCCTTCAGGTTCCCTGGAGGGGCTGGACCATCCAACTGACAGCTCACATCCTAATTCTGAGCTGAGACTCCAAGTCCCAGAAAATGGATATTATTTACTGATGTAATCATTAGAGCCTGCTCCAAACATAACTAAAATTAGTGATAAGAGTCATATAAGTAGGGGGCTTTGGATAAAAGCATTTAAAGGCTGAAGTCACAAGTCTTCAAATGGATGGGCTTGCTACTGAGTACATTTTCTAGGGCACTTCTTTTCTCTCCTATATATAAACAGTGGGATGAACATAACAATTTATTTTGGCTGCTGGCAAAAGGTCAATAGCTATTCCCTTTCATTTAATGGAAAGAAAGCATGAAGAAGCACTATGATTTAGCCCTTCCATGTCTGTACTAGATTAATTATAGCCAAAACTATCAAATCCTTGAGTTCACAGGCAACATTCACTTCAAGGAGAAACCATTTCTTTTTCTTGTTGCTTTTTTGTACACAGTTGTGCTAATCAGTATTTTTAACAAAGCTTTTTTAATACCAGCAACATTTAATAGTGAGAAAACCAGGTGAAGCTGTGCCAATCCAGTACAACATGAAAACTCCAGCCTTTCAAAGGGGAATTGGTGAAAATACAAATAGTTGTACCTCATACAGTCCTTCAGCTGCTGAATCTTCAAGATTTTTTGCAACTTCTGAAGATGATGAATAGCATTGATTTATGTTTTTTAATTGGTTGGGGAGAGTAAGAATGACTTTGTAGCCAACTGGCTGCTGCATTCCCATTGGGTTGGGATGAGAAGGCCATACTCCGCAATTGGGTTCCTTATTGTTGCAGAATCACTAAGAAACACAATTCATACCTGGCACTGTAAGCTGCTGTTACTATGTAACTCGTATGTCTTGCCTAATGCCCAAATAAGTGATGAACATGGTAAGTCTTTCTGTCCAGTGACTGTATAACTACCATATACAAAATGCAACACCTAGAGAAATTAAGAAATTAAGACACCTGATATAAGGTACAATAGGGAAATGCACAGAGTGAAACTGCCTCAAGAGGGAAAGGAGATGAAGTTGAGCTTCTGACAGCCCAGACTACTAAGTCATTAGCTGAAAGAGCAAGGTGTTGCAGGAAGATCATTATACTGCCTGAATATAAAACTTGCCTTACAGAATACATGCCAGTTTGTATGCTAAAGACTAGGGAGATGGAAATTAAACATCTAGTTGTGGACCAGGGAACCTCACTGCTCAGCACTTCACTTCAGTCTTTCTTTACTACACTGGGATTTCACTGGTGAAAACTCTGATTGGCAGAAACTTTACATACCTCCAGAAGGCATGTGGCAAACAAGGAGGAGAATGAACTTTTCAACTTCACACTGGCCCTTTAGACAGCATTAAAATTTCTGAACACTTTTACAGATATAGTCCTTTACTAAATGGTATTAGTGTCTTATAAACTGTTTTTATTCATGCTTGAATAATAGAGACGTTATAATTGAAATTATAATATAGTCCTTAATACTAAATGCTGTCTGCCACTCTGTGTGTAATACTAAGAAGGTCTTCAAATTGGTACCTCACCTCTACCTACCTTAAGACAATGTAAAAAAATTTCCTTAGGTGTTTTTAAAACAAGGTTTCTTTTTTATTTGGCAAGTAAATATTTGTATTTTTCTAATTACTTGAAGGAACCTCTACTCCATTTAGAAAAAAAAAATCAAAGAAAAAGCTCACAATCAATAATTCTACCCTGGGGGGAAAATAGAGGCAGGGATGAGTATGACATTCTGTTGAGAGGAGAACACACGCTTGTGTATGTGAATTTTCCATTTCTGCTATTCTTACAGTTTTCTGCTTTTCAGTCTGAATCTGAATATGTAGAGAAAGAGAAGTTCATAGTGCAGGATGCTTTATTATCTGAATGTGAGTCCTAAGTTTGCTGTGCTGGTAAAGAATAGGAACGGTCTTTCTGCATCAGGTCTTGCAAGACTCCTGCAACCCACATTGATGCAGAGAATCCAGCCAGATTGGTATAAATTAGTTAGGGTTTTTTTAACCTGTGTTGTGGTTTCAGAGTAAAAACATCTGAAAAAAAAATAGAGTACGTCTTTATTTCCATGGAACATATCCACAGAGCTGAAGTCCAGGCAATCGCCTTCCTCTTCCAGCGTCAGCTGGCTACCAGAAATGGTGATGATTCATTTACCTGCTGAGCACAAAGACAGGCTGTACAGAAACTGAGGTGTGGATCTGATGAATGCACCATGCCAGGGTGACATACTTCCTCTTCACTTCATGTTTCACCATTGTTGTCATTCTTGCTGATTTTTCCCAGTGCAGCATGAATTCAGGATTGTATTAATGAAATGTGAGGAGAATGGCTGAGGTAAATCTGCCCCAGTTCTTTGCACCAGCCACTCTTCTTTCAGTGAGTTATTCATAATCAATGCAAGCACAGAAAACAGGCTGACAGCTGTGACGTACCTTTTGAGTCAAGCATGCATAGATTTTGCTATCTTTCCAATCCATTTCCTTCCTGCCCAAGAAAACAAAAGAAAATATTTTCCTATGTGTTTATCTGCTTGAAAGAATTTTGTTTTCTGCAGTTCTCATGGAATATTTCAAAACGTTTTCCCTTCAGTTAATGGACCTAAAAACTGCTGAGCACTGGCTGCTCTGCAGCAAAGCTCATATACAAATCTGTCTAAGCATGCATTTAAGTGTTTTTTGCAGGATCAGGGGTGGAGTTAGCAGCATTTTGTTGTACGAAGGATGACAAAGTCCCCAGCCCAGTAAAAGAACATCGAAAATTCAGGCTTAGGACATTAACTTGAGAGCAGTCAGAGGAACAGGATTTTAGTCAGATGACTGTACAACACACTAAGATGCAGAGGGTTGATCTGTGTTTATGAAGCAACCCTAGGTGTTTTCCCAGATAACAGGAGGGTTTTTCCTGAGAGCTAATGGCAAAAAGCCTTGCTTGAGTTTTGTACCTCTTTCTATAGCATTGCAGGTGTTCATAGCAGAGTGCAGTATTGAAGTCTCAGCTGTCTCAAATGAAATAGCAGTTACATAGTGATGTTTTTAATAGGTACAGATTCCCCAAATGGGTGAGGTCCCATTGAAACTACGAGAAAAGCATGAGATTTCCATTCTTCTTCCTGAAAAGATTTCGGCCATGTGAGAGCTCTCAGAAACCCTATCCTATTATCTTTCTCCTTTTGTCTTTCTCTTGCTTTCAAACCTGCTTGATGCTATCAGTAAATAATCCTAATATGGGCATATAAGAATGGCTGTCATAGGCAATTTTGGGATTTTACATATTCTTTCAATAGATTTTTCACTAACTCTTGTTAGAACAGGGGTTGAAATGGGAATAGATAATAAGCTTTCTATGACTACAGAAATTTCCTTGCACCCCAGTGAAGAGTCTATAAATTCTTGTTGAACTCATTTCAAGTAATCAGGATCAAAAGTAATTCAGGAATACAAAAGAGCTATTTACCTTATACCCCTGGAATTCATTTGCTTGCTCCAAACCCTGGTTAGGAGCCAAGGCTGTCATTTCAGGACACTAGAATGACCAAATATATGGTGAAAATAATTAATTCTGAAGTTTGTGACCTGAAGGGAATTGCATAGTATATATACTCACATTTAACATTCAGTTTCACATTTATTTCTTCAACATGCTAATGCATACAAAATAAGACTGACTTCTAATGCTGTTAAGTCAAAATAAGACAATCTAATAAATTATTCCAACATATATCCATTTGGACTCCTAGGTGCCATCCTAAGTAAGAATAATGATACAGTAATAATAGCACTGAACTAAAAGACAATCTAAAAAACATTGCCACTTTACAGGCTTATGAGAATATGCTACTTAAAAGAAAATTAAAGTCATAAAAATTTTCTAGCATAGGAGCTAGGAATGGCACATCATCAAAAATAAAGCAAATTAAAATTATCTATCTATTTGTTCAGCAGTGCTGGAATAAATGGAACAGATTATATTAGATGTCTACAGGATTTGGAGTAGCATGCTTTATTCAGTAGTAGTGGAAGCACAGGATTTATAATTAAATCAGTATGCATTGTTCTCGTTCTTTCAGAACTTGCCTGTTAACCTAAATTACTAGCCACAACAAGTAAAAGGTAAAAATCTGCCTGGATCAACTATTTGCTTTGCATTGTGGAAAGCCAGCAGCAATAGTTTTCCATGCTCCTGGTCATAGCAATAGAATCATGGGAAACACCAGGAGAGGTGAGAACTTTTGTGCCTCACAGATACAGTATTTAAGTATTGGCACAATACACTTTGGCTGCACGTTGTCTCTTTTCCTGTAGGTTCACAGGTGTGTCCTTTCCAGATCCTGTGCACACCCTGTTGCTACCCTCACACACAGCTGACGACTGAAATCATTCCTCCAGTCTAGTTTCTTGGTATCCTTGTTGTATTGAGTGTTGAGCAATTCAGTGGCAGAACTCATGTCCAGATTTTACTGAAGCACAGCCATAGCTCAGGTTTCAGAAGCTAATAGTGGCCTGAATACCTGTGAATAATCACTGCCCAACTTGAGAAATGGAAAGCATGAAGGTGTTGATATTCTGGCAAATATCCTTTTGTTTTTTTCCTAAATAAAGACATTTAAATGGGAGCTGATATCACTTTCTGAGACTGCTAAGATCTTGCTCACTCCAGGATACCTATATAGCCTAATGTACTCTAATATACAAATACTAATGAAAAAACACTAATATACTAATATAATATGTCTCTAATATACATGCACAATTAAAACCATGTTTCATGTAGTTTGAAAAGGTCACATTTTCTGGAGATTCTTGCATCATTTGTAAAAGAAGCTCCAGAAGCTTTTAAAAAAAAGTTTTCCATCAAACGTATTCTCAGCTCTACGTTTATCCAACGTGGTCCAGCTGTCATATGACTAAGAAAACTTCAAAATGCCTCACAGGAGCAGTTTTGCATTCCTAAATTTCAAGCTTAAGTACACCCATTTGAAAAATGTGTTACAAGAGTGCCTTTGAGCCAATGCAGAGGTAGACTTTATGATTAAGTTTTTCAAAGGTGCTAGCAGCAGCAGCTCTATGGGCTGAGCACTCAGAGGCACTATCAACAGAATGTGTAAGCACCAGAAAGTAAAGCCTGGTCTTTTCTGTCTAGTCTTTCCCACCGCTCTTCTATTTTTTTAATTCATCATCACAAGCTCATCATCACCTCTTCTCTTTCCTCTGAGAGTGGTTACGAGTGGATATTCCTTACTAGGACCTGGAAGCTAAGTATCTCTCATCCAAGAATGTTTACCTTAGAGATAAAAGAAAATGCAGTTTGAAATTCTGCAAGGACCCTTAGATGGCAGGAAAACATAGAATTGCAAAATGGTCTGAGTTGGAATGGACCTTAAGATCATGAGTTCCAACCACCTGACACAGGCAGGGACACATCACTTCAAACCCTGTCGCCCAAGGCTCTGTCCAACCTGGCCTTGCACACTGCTCGCAATGTAAATCAGGCCGAATCCCAAACTGACTTCAGGAATGTATGCATTTCCACATGTCAAGGAAAAGAGTACTGTTGTACAGCTTTATCCTCTCTTCCTGCATTATCAGTCAGCGTGCCCTGACTTGCACCTCAAGCTGATTGTGATTGGGGGGAAAAAGTGGTTACAAAATTTTATTTAAAAACTCCTTTTCTTGTTTTTCAACTGCTCATGCAATTCTGTAAATAGGCAAAAAGAACCCCACGCACCTCTCTAAAATCTTGACTTAAATGTTTAAACACTGGTGTTCTGACCACATAGCATTCCTGGTCTGTGGTGTGAAACTGCCACGCAATATGGAAAAGCTCTGTTGTCTAAGAAGAAAAAAAATGCTTTAGGAAGAGCAAGAGAGAATTCTCTTAGACCTTAGTTGATCAGTTAGCAACATTAGTTCAGCTTCGCCTGGTAACAGCTAGGTTAGGTAAGAAGACCTTTCTGTGGAAAAATAAACCTGTCCTGTCATATGTGCACACATTCCCATATCAAAAGGTCTACTACTGTAGGTCAGCATTTTGGAAGTGCTAAATAGAGCTCTCCATTTTCACTTAGGTCTTATCAACCAACTTTCCAGGGAGGTCAGCCACAAAATTAATAAAATAGTTATTGGTGGCCAGATGTATTAATAAAGCCTTCTCTGAGGGACAGAATGCTGTTCCACTCAGTCTCAACTACACATTGATGGGATGAGGCCCATCAAAACTGTGAAGGGACGGTTTGGCCACAGAGCTGATAGAGCCAGTGAAAATACCCTGGGAATACCTAACAAGCATAATTTATTTAAAACCTTGTTGATAAAATATCCCAAAACTTCCATTCTTACTACGCTTATCGTTTCAACAGAAATAGCAGAACTGTCATGTAATCTTGGTGGGTCAGCACTGCAGACCAGTTGTAGTGCTCCCTGAAGGCTGCCCAGCTTCTCCCTTGCTCAGTGGGAGAGAAAGGGAACACTATTGTTATTGGAGACCTTAACACTGCACCTGAAAAGGCTGTAACCATTGTTAGCTCTCCTCAACAGGTTGGGAAACTGGCAGTGAGATATGAAAAACCAGAACGATCAGCTGGGTTTCAGTGAAGGCTGCAGCAACTGGTGGTGCTGTCAAGTTCAGTGTACAGTGCTAGGGAGTGAGTCTGTGTTGGTAGAGAACACCCCTGCCTCTAGAGTCCCCTGCACTGCTGGGATTGTGAGAGATTGGACTAAGGATGGTGCACAGTAAGCCAGGTTCATCTTGTTACCTGAGAACGAGGTGAAGAAGATGCCTTTGGAGATATTGTGTGTATGTTTTGACAATTAATGATAAGATCACCATCTACTGGCATGTGAACACAATTGTCACAGCTTGGATACCTATATCCTGTACCATGGCTTCCACAGTATGTCTATCTTTACACCTGTTTAGATCCTTCTGTGCTGGCAACCAGCAAAAGCTGTGCTCCTGTGCTGTGTCTCAGGACCTGGCAGAGATCCCTAGTACCATCTTCTGTTTGCTAACAGGTCAGACCTGGCTTGGCAGCTCACAAATCAAAGTGTGCATCGAGGAGTAATAATTAATGGGTTTGGGTTTTCCCTCTTGTTTAAAGACATGGCTGTCAGACAAGAATCACTGTACACAGCAATGACAGGCACACAGAACAAAAGAGACAGCTTGGAAATCATTTGATAAAATTTTGAATGTCTGAGAGAGAAGCAGTGATCTTGAGGAGCTTACAGGTACCTGAAACCTGGCTGCAGCCCATCCTTTGTTTTAGGAGATTACTCTGCAGCTAAAGTAGCCTCGACTGTAGCATTTAGATTTCTTTCTACAGATCTGGATGCAATGAAGCAGTGTAATTTTTATCACAGCATAAAACTCTCTGTGCAAGCTGTGTATTCCCTACCACAGACACAGAACTCCCTTGTAAGCCAACACTTTCACATTTCATTTTATGTAGTTAAATGCCTATAACCTCCTTACATTCTCTAAAGGAACCAGGGACATCCACCATCTTCAAAAATTAGGTCACCCTCCTTTCCCTGTCTTTGAGTGCTTAATCAGAGTTGCTTGAATGGACTCTCAGGGGAAGGAAATTCTCAGTATTTAAAGCTGCTGCAAATTTCATCATCTAACACTTCACTTTTTTTGTGGGTTATCCCACTAGAGAATATCTGGGATGGAAGGAGCACCAGTCCCCTTCCTTATGACAGTGCACAGGAGAAACATGAACAGAAACTAGCATTTTCTTACCATGGTTACATTTAGTATGGACATAGAGGAGATGTGAAATTTTCATGTGGGATGCACAGAAGTTGGACCAATTGTCTACGGCTCATGGATAGCTTTTACTTTATCTGCTGCCTTAACTGAATTTCCATGGAGAGATGTCAGAGACAGTAAGGCTTCTGACTCTGCCTCATGTGTCATTATCAGTAGCTGGTTAGGGAAAGTACCACAAAACATAAAAACACTTTGGGAAACTGCATAGAGGAATACTTACCAGTGGTTTTGTCACAGTGAAAGGCTGCACCAAGCAGCATTCTGAAGGGCTCTGTCTTTGGTCTGGTTCTTGACTGTAGAATACCAGAAAATTTCTATACAATTTCTCTACAATATTTTCGACAATATATTTCTATACAATACGTATCTCATTTTCAAATAATAACAATCTGAAAAGATTTGCAAATGGGGTATAGAAGTTATAATTAGCTGGTCAAAATTATCTTGACAATGTGGAGTAACGGCCTGCAAAAACATGATCAACAAAAACTGATTATTCCTATCTAGGCAGAAGTTATCACTAGAAGGGTAGCACTGGGTGTAACTGGAACATGGGGCCAGTTTTATGTTGCAAGACAAATGCAAGACTCTGGCGCAGGTACAGCTGTTCCTGACTTGAGGCTGGAGATGGGCTGGCTCTTTCAGACCAGATTTTTTCTGCTTCCATGCCAACTATTAGCAGGAAGAGAAAGGGGAAAGTAGCAGCACATAGCTAAGAGAGAGTTCTGTCTGCTTTACCCCCACCAAGGCTAAGTGGGGCTATAGCTGACGCAGACACATGATTTCAGGTCAGGGCTGAATTCCAGCTCAATAACTCTCCTGAAAACTAAATTTCTGCCTAGGATACAGACACAGTACTACCACAGACATTAGTGAAAGTGGCACAAGCACACCAAAGGGTGAAAGCTTTAATACTTCCTACAGTTTTTGTTACCCACATTTATGTTAGAAGAAAAAGAACAAATGGAATAAAGGCAATTTAATAGCTAAAATATAAGTGCTCCTATTCCTGTCTCTCTGTGATGCCTGCTGCCAGCAGCAGTTACAGGAGCTGGACCTAGAATTTAAGGTTATATGAGTAATTTTAGGTAATTTATGTACCAAAATCCATCTTACCAAGATGTACCCCTAGAGATTTTTCAAAGGCATAAATACTTGCAATTGATGAGAAAGAAAAAAAAATAAAATCAGGGTTATTCTTTCTCTCCCCTCCCCTTTATAAACACCCTTGTTGCCTGAAGCAAACTAGGCTTTTGAGGGCAGACTGCAAGACCTCATTTTGGAGTTTTTGAGGGTATTCGGCCTCCAGAATGCATATATCAGTAAGACAAGATTATTTTCCAAAATGGCAAAGTGACCTAGGAACCAGCCTTCTACTGATTTTCACTAGAATCAAAAAGTAAGAGCCATCTAGAAAAGAGCAGGCAAATGTAAAAGACGTGGTCATACAACACAAGAAGGGAAATGCTGGAGTTCAGATCTCTGGCTGGTATCAACTCACACTGGAAATAGTTTCTGTGGAGTATGGCTCATAATTCAACACTGCATTGCAGATCCCCAGATCTGCTCTGGGCAGCAGTGATATTATGGCAACCGTAAGGTTGATTGTGGATAAATTAGATATTTTGCTTGCAATGAGGGAACGTAGCAGGCTGACTTTTTCTGGCCTTCTCATCAGACAGTGAGAACAGTGAGACAAGCAAAACGTGGTATTCCTGAGTGAGAGGTGAATCTCACTTGGCATCTGAGCTGACCCTCACAACTGAAATATCTAAGCAGTTCACATTCTTTAATACATTTATCCTCACAATGAACCTTTGAGACAGGAGGCAAATCTCTCTCTCTTA